CATGGTGGTGTGTGCTGATAGTCCCAGCTACTCAAGAGGCTGAGATGAGAGGGTCACTGGAGCCAGGGAGGTCGAGGCTGCAGTGAGCCAAGATTGCACCACTGCACTCCAGCCTGTGTGGCAGAATGAGACCCTGTCTCAAAAAAAAAAAAAAACCTCCTAAAGTGCAATTTTAAAAAAAGCAAATGATTACTTATAGCAAAAAGGCTAGAGATCACATTCAAATGTGTACAGTATTTATCTGTGGGTAATAGAACTATGGGTGTTTTTCATTTTCTTCTTTCACACCTTTATGTAATGTGTTAATATTTTATCATTAGGAAAGAAACAGCAAAGCTATTTTCAGCTTGAAATGAAAAAAGTTGATAAAGGGGATTGGGGCTTAGGTGATTAAAAGCAAGCATGTGAGTCAGACATGGCCTCCCAGCCCCTGCTGGTCTGTTGCGCTGTCGCTGTCGCAGGACACTCAAGTTGCTATCAGAAGCACTTTTCTCTGTCAAAGTGACTGGCTTTTGTCACGCAATCCCCAGGTTATAATGGGAGAGTAGGACAGGCCCCAGAGCAGTCAGCTGAGCCAGCCCTGCTGGGTGAGTCGGTCCTCTGGGGCTCGCTATGCCCCTGACCTCCGCATGGGGAACACCATCAGGGCCCTTGTGGCCTTCATCCCTGCTGACCGCTGCCAGAACTATGTGGTCAGGGACCTCCGTGAGATGCCGCTGGACAAGATGGTGGATCTGAGTGGGAGCCAGCTACGGCGCTTCCCCGTGCATGTGTGCTCCTTCAGGGAGCTGGTCAAGCTCTACCTAAGCAACAACCACCTCAACAGCCTGCCCCTGGAGCTGGGGCAGCTACAGAACCTGCAGATTCTGGCCCTGGATTTCAACAACTTCAAGGCTCTGCCCCAGGTGGTGTGCACCTTGAAACAGCTCTGCATCCTCTACCTGGGCAACAACAAACTCTGCGACCTCCCCAGTGAGCTGAGCCTGCTCCAGAACCTCAGGACCCTGTGGATCGAGGCCAACTGCCTCACCCAGCTGCCGGATGTGGTTTGTGAGCTGAGTCTCCTTAAGACTCTGCATGCCGGCTCCAATGCCCTGCGTCTGCTGCCAGGGCAGCTCCGGCGCCTCCAGGAGCTGAGGACCATCTGGCTCTCAGGCAACCGACTAACCGACTTCCCTGCTGTGCTGCTTCACATGCCCTTCCTGGAGGTGATTGATGTGGACCGGAACAGCATCCACTATTTTCCCAGCCTGGCCCACCTGTCAAGTCTGAAGCTGGTCATCTATGACCACAATCCTTGCAGGAACGCACCCAAGGTGGCCAAAGGTGTGCGCCGTGTGGGGAGATGGGCAGAGGAGACCCCAGAGCCTGACCCCAGAAAAGCCAGGCGCTATGCATTGGTCAGAGAGGAAAGCCTTGAGCCACAGGCACCTGCCCCACCTCCTCCACTTCCTCCTACTGACTCCTGAGGAGCTTCAGTTGCAAGTCAATGCCAAGGACCCAACTGCAGCCTGTTGAGGATGCCTCTTTATTGGAGTGAAAAGGATGGTGCTGGGTCCTTCAGGTGTGGCTCTGCTAGTAGAGGTTGATGGAGAGAGCCAGGTGGAATGTCATAAATCACACTGAGAAGAAAACATTCTGGCCAACAGCACCTCTTCCAGAGGGGAGTTGTGTGCCAGTGATGGCATGACAATCCAGAGATCCTAACTTCTTTGCAAGAAAATAGCTTCTACATGCAGATATTTTGAAACACTGAAGAGCAAAAAGAGCTGGGACACTGAACTCCTGCACTCTCCAGAAGTGACTGGTCATGAGGCTCATGAGCTCCTCAAATAAGGTATTTGTCATAGAACTCAATATTCTGGTGGTCTGTCCCTCTGCAGGACATATTTTCTTTACTGTAAATGACCATAAACAGTATCAATGTATCATTGATTGGGGCCACTGAAAAGGATATTTCCACGTAGTCAATCAGTAAGATTCACAGAAAAAAGTTATTGCAAAGGCTCGAGATCAAACTCTTTCCCTAGCAGTTTAGTGCCTGCTGAAAAGATCCCTGATGGACAATACCTCTTGGTGAACTCCAGCTGCCCCTTTTATTATTCTTAGAGACCAGGTTTCACTCTGTTGCTAGGCTGGAGTGCAGTGGCACAATCTCGGCTCACTGTAAGCTCTGCCCCCCAAGTTCAAGTGATTCTCTTGCCTCAGCCTCCTGAGTAGCTGGAATTACAGGTGTCTGCCACCATGCCTGGCTAATTTTTGTATTTTTAGTAGAGAGAGGGTTTCATCATCTTGGTCGGGCTCGTCTTGAACTGCTGACCTTGTGCTCCACACACCTCAGCTTCCCAAAGTGCTGGGATTACAGGTATGAGCCACCAACCCAGGCCATATCTTTATTTCTAAGAGCCTTTTCTTATTTTTAGAATATTTCTTTCTTTCTAATAGCATCCTACTCTTTTTATGGATGTTATGTCATCCAAGATAGGCACAGTATTTGGAACACAGACTACAGGGCAAGATGATCTGGGTTCAAATCCTACCTTGTTCAGGTTGTATGAACTCCTTCTTCCCCGATTTCTTTCTTTATCAAGTGGAAACAATAACAGTACATACATTTTAGGATTGCTATAAGGATTAAATGACCTAATAATACCACATCCAGCATATGAGTGCTATAGTTAACGCTCTGAAAATATTACAGTACAGTTTATTATTTTATTCTCTTCATTTTTTGGTCTTGATTTTAAAAATTCTCCTTATTTCAATCTCTGATTTTCACGTAAGAGATCTTCTTCAAGTGTTTTGTTATCTAAAGTGCTGCATGGAAGGTCCGTTTGGTGGCGCAAAGTCTGTCACCTTGTGTGGCTCAACAGGAACTCACTGTGATAAAATCATACTCTGTGAGATCAGGGTTTATCTATCTTGCCAGTCACTTGATTACCTGCATCTAAAGCATAGTAGATGTTCAATCAATATTTGATGTTATCATTAAACCTCTCTGACTCACACACAGTTTTCCCATCTGAAAAGTAAGGTAAAGCATATCTATCGGGCTGGTGTTGTAAGAACAGATAATATACGTAAGGCACCTGGTAGCAACATTATTACCATTATCCTTTCTAGGGAGGGTATTAGGGCAGCTTCTTCATAACCATTTGTGTTACCACTGACCATGCTAAATATAGCAGCAAAGCAGAGTTGACAGGCCAGTTATTTTAATACAAATAAGCAAATAAGAAGAGGGCTCAAGATAATAGCCCTTGACATTCAATGTGTAGAAAGTCCAGGAAGAACACTGGCTTCAGTCGTGACCCGTGAGCAGAAAGTGGGTATCTCTGCTGCATCACCAAATGGCTCTGCAGAATCCCCGTTAACGAGGGGCTCCTCAGCGGTGTGGTCCATGGCACACGATTCAGCAGTGAAGTCACTGGACAAGGAGTGAGGGTGTGCCGGCGCCTCACCCACCCTGGCATTCTATTCAGAGAGCAGGCAGGCTGATGGATTGGTTGTTTCTGGACTAGAGTTTTCAAATTTAAAATGATAAATGCTTCTAGTTAAAAAATATTCAGCTAGGTGCAGTGGCTCACGCCTATAATCCCAACACTTTGGGAGGCCCAGGTGAGTGAATCACAAGGTCAGGAGTTCGAGACCAGCCTGGCCAACATAGTGAAACTCCGTCTCTACTAAAAATACAAAAATTAGCCGGGTGTGGTGGCGCACACCTGCAATCCCAGCTACTCAGGAGGCTGAGGCAGGAGAATTGCTTGAACCTGGGATGCAGAGGTTGTGGTGAGCCGAGATCTCACCATTGTACACCAGCCTGAGCAGCAAGAGTGAAACTACATCTCAAAGAAAAAAAAAATTCAAGAGTACAGAAGGATGTAAATAGAAAAGTCAGCATCCCTATCACCCACAAACCTTCAGGTAGATTTTCCAGAGTTAATCACCATTATTTCTTACAGATATTTTTATGCACACACAAAGACATACATATATTTTTTCACAGATGGGAACCATAAAAACTATTCTGAAATTTGCTTTTTTCCTTCCCTATTTATTTATCCAGAATAACTTCCTGTATCAGAATACGTGGATTTACCTCCTTATTTTTAACAACTGCTGTATGTATAAAGTAATATAACAGATAAGCCCCCAATCTAAATGACTTCTCATAATTAATATTTATTTCTTATTTACCTTAGTCTAACTGAGGATCAAGTGGGAGTGAGGAGGGTAAGGAGATGCTTTGCTCTTAGCACATATTCAGGGATCCAGGATGACCACAGCCCTGCCATCTTCAACATATGACTTCCACGTACTTGGTGGCTCCTAAAGTCACTCTGGGTGATAATATCCAGCCAGCAGGTGGGGAAGGAGAGTGTGGAGAAGGGTGAAAGGTTTATTTTGCAATGAGCCAAGTCTAGAGGTGACATCTAACACTTCTGCCCACATTACTTCCATTGGCCAAAACAGGAAGAGTTTCTCCTCTAGATCAGCACTAGGAAATTCTCCTGACCTGACAGCTGCTTGCCTGGAACAACTGGACACTATGGAAGGGAAGTGCACACCTTTCACAGGTGATCAACCATACCTGACACAGGTGCCCTGTAGGAATACATTCGAATTTATTTAAGATCCAGAAGGCTAGCTTTCTTCTCTTCCTTCTGCTTTTCTACTTATCTGTTGTCAATGGCAAGTTTTTAAACTGTGGAAAGATAAAATCTGATAAGAACGAAGACACAAGAAAGTAGACACCTGTAACCATTGCTGGTGGGAGCGTGTACTGGTTCGGATTTGGTGGGTAGAGAGGAGCCATCGATGAAAAACCTGTCAACGATGTGTATATGTGACCCAGCAACACTTTTTTTTTTTTTTTTTTTTTTTGAGATGGAGTCTCACTCTGTCACTCAGCCTGAGTGCAATGGCTCCATCTCAGCTCACTGCAACCTCTGCCTCTCAGGTTCAAGCAATTCTCCTGCTTTAGCCTCCTGGGTAGCTGGGATTACAGGCATGCACCACCACACCGAGCTAATTTTTATATTCTTTAGTAGAAATGGGGTTTTACCATGTGGCCCAGGCTGGTTTCAAACACCTGGGTTTAAGTGATCTGCCTGCCTCAGCCTCCCAAAGTGCTGGGATTACAGGCATGAGCCACCACACCTGGCCTGATCCAGCAACACTTCTAAGGACGGTTTCTAAAGAAATGAGTGA